TTTTTTCTCTTTCTCAGAAAATCATTAAGAATTAATGTGTTAATGTTCATTTCAATTAATGTTAATTTCAATCAATTACTGTTTTGTTCTCTTTGATTCTCAGATTGTTTTATTTGGGCATGGGGAAGCTCTTTCTAATAGTATTTAAGAGCTGGAAGGAATCTTAAAAATCAGGTGCTCTAAATCCCTACCTTTTATAGGTGAGGAAACCAAAGCTTAGAAGTTTGTGACATCCTATTGTGTCACAGCTGATTAGCTGTGCAGAGCAGGGATCAGGGTCCAGATTTCTGGAAGCCTCAGCTAGTGCTTTTCTCACTGTTCTGAGAGAGAGATCTGCAGTAAATCTTGCTTTCAACTTCTTCTTTTTTTTTTTTTTTAAAGATTTTATTTATTTGACAGGGAGAGAGATCACAAGTAGAGAGAGAGAGAGAGAGAGAGAGAGAGGAGGAGGAGGCAGGCTCCCTGCCTAGCAGAGAGCCCGATGTGGGACTTGATCCCAGAACCCTAAGATCAGGACCTGAGCTGAAGGCACAGGCTTAACCCACTGAGCCACCCAGGCAGCCCTGCTTTCAACTTCTTACCAATATTAAACAAAATGAGAGAAAATGGCTCATGTATAATCATACATTTTTTGTTTATTAAAAGTTATTGTCTAGTCCAGTGGGCGGCCTATTGGGTAGATCCATTAACTGCCTTGTTTAGAAACAGCAGAGAAGACCATTGCAGGCTGGGAACTGGTCAGGTCTGAGATGTGTTTGCCTTGACCATTTCACTGTCTACAGGTTGAATTTGTCTTGTGGTCACACTTTGATCTGCAGAGTTTTGAAAACTTGGAATTCATTGCCAACTTAGAAAAGTAGTGATTTCGTGTACATGTTTGAGTTGTCAGCGTCTCCAAAATACTTGTAGATACCTAGCAGCATTGTGATACAGCAATATTTGGTTACAGTAGAAAAGCTTGAGTGGTCCTGTCTTCCCAGCTTGCCTCCCAGTCCTTCCCTAACGCGTCCTTTACATGTTCGTTATTGGACGACAGATCCTGCGCAGCTCTCGGGCCTGACCTTGTAAGCATTTGAGATAGTGACCCCTTAGAGAGTGACCTCTTGACATAAAGAATCCTAGGAAAATTCTTGGCAATGAAGGTAACATCAATAATGTTAAAATCACACATGAACAGCAAGAAGACAGTACAGCTGACAGTTTTCCTGCTGCTAATAGATCAACAGCTTAGTCACAGAGAGTAAAACCAATGATGTCAGCCAAAAATTTTTGAATTTTCAAGAAGATATAGTTTGAAATACTGGTTTTCTTCCTGTCATTTGTTGTAAACCTCACCTTTGGTGTTAGTTATGCTAATGCATATGTATATATAATTTTTATTATAATGAATCATATGAAAAATTTTCATTTTGTAGGTTGAAAATGTCAAATATTGGTAATTTCATATTGTTCAACTAAAAAAACGTAATCACATATAGATGGGGTGTGTACCCCAAATCTTCTTTTTACAGGTGGGTTACCCAAGCAGATTTGAAGCCCACTGAGGTAGAAGAGGCTTACTCTTAGGTTGGACTTTGCATGGGAAATGGTTAGTGAATAAAGCAGAATATGCAATAAAATTACAATAAGAAGAAAGTACAGTTTGTATAGCAGAAACAAGGATGAACAAGGAGTTAGAAAAGGGGTGGATAGCATGGTAGGATCCTTAGGGAGATCTTCAGAGTGAGAGTGGGTCCAGTAAGTACAAAATTTCCTCTAAAGTCAAATATAAATTGTTTTAATTATTTGTACTTTTTTCATACCATAAGCACTAAGGATAATTAAGAGTTGGCTATTTACATTTTTGTAATCTTGTAGCTACAGAAACTCAAGTTTAGTTGATCAGATCATGCTAATATGCTCACTGGCCTACTTAGAAATTTGCCTTCTCTTTGTATTTTTTTTTTTTTCTTTGTATGTTTTTATGTCAGTGTTTCTCAAACTGGATAGCAAGCTATTAATGAGTTGTGAAGTTAACTTATTGGGTCAGAGCTGGTATTTTTGAAAAAGTGAAGTGGAATACTGGAAGAGTAAGGGTAGTATTGTTTCAAGAAATTTATATTTTAGCTTTATGTGTGTGTTTCAGTGTGTTCATGTGACTGTGCCAAGTTGCGATACAAAATGTATTTCTTACTGTGGGTTGAAGAAAAAAGTTGAAAGCCATTTTATTCTAGTTTGGTATTTTGAGTTTAGGATAGAATGCTTGTTCACTGTTAATAGTGAGGCTTTAAAATCAAGAGTCCTGATTCTTATTTTGAATTTTCAGATCTGTAATTCTTTTAATAATCTTGCTAGACACTCAGCCAAGCAGCCTTTTTAACCAATTCCAGTGCCCTTATTTGGGTTCCCATCCCTCATCTTCAGTCCTTTGAACAGTGCTGACTTAATTTTTTTTTTTTTTTTCCCTTCCCAATTTGTACTGCAGGGAGAAACTGACTGGCATGGGTAGATCAGTTGCATTAGAAAGTGTGCACTTAGATTATTATCTAATGTAATGATTGAGAAACTCTAAATATGTGGTTAGGTGGAGTGAAAAGGTGAGCTACCTGCATTAATACCAAATCCTCAGATTTATAACCAAAAACACACCTTATTTTTTGGTCTTCCACATTGGCTTTAACAGCAGTCCGTCAGTTTCTTCACAAGAGTCCATGTATTGAGTGACTACTATGAGCAAGGCAAGGATGGCCCACGTAGTTGTTAAAGGTTGTAGTTAATGGAAAGTGAGAAGAGAGGGGTGAGCTGCCTGGGCACTGGGTCATCCAGTTATTGTGAGGGTTTTGAGTGGTGGTGTGGTGAAGCAGACAGTGCCTGAGCAGAACAAACCAGTGGTTCCTAGGCTTTTCTCTGATCTTTGCTGGGTGGTTGACCTTATCAAGTAGGTTATTTAAACTGTTGGATTCTCCATGTCTATCTCTGTTAAATGGGGAAATTCCCACATAGTTATTTGGAGTGTGACCCATAGTAGTTCATGTATTATGTATTAATTATATTAAATGTATTAATTCCCCTCCCCTAGTCTTTCATTTCTTTTTTTTTTTTTTTTTTAAAGATTTTATTGATTGATTGAGAGAGCACTTGAGCCCATGCAAGTATGCCTATGTGCGAGGTGGGGGTGCAAATGTCAGGGGGTAGAGAGAGGGAGAAAGAATCTCAAGCGGACTCTACTCGGAGTGCAGAGCCTGACACAGGGCTCTATCTCACAACCTGGAGAATGTGACCCGAGCCTCAACGGGGAGTCAGATGCTTAACAGACTGAGCCACATAGATGCCTCATTTCTTCAATTACTTATACAGCTTTTCTTAACTGCCATTAAATACTGATAAGGTCCCATGTTGAGGTGAAAAATGACTACTTTTAAAAGGAAAGCATCTTTGGGGCCATGGTAGCTGCCTGAGAATTGATGCCTAGTGCTTAGTCTTAGTATGAAGTGGCTAGTGAGGCAGGAAGAATGGAAGAAGCAGAGCTGGCTTCTAGCCTCTGAAATTTGCTTGCTAAACTTTGTATTAATAACTCCATGTTACTATAAATAGCAGTCTTTTTGTTTCTTTGGTGTGCTTGTGCCTGGGCTATTTAGGATTATAATCTTGATTTGAGGAATCTCTATAGTTATTTTTTGGCCCTAAATTAACATTAAAGAATGCATTTTCTGGGTGCTGCCATTTTGATAGCTTCTTAGGACCTCTTGTCTTTATTTGTAGAATGAAGGGCTGGGTTAGTTAGCTGTAATTCCTTTAAGCTTTAACATGTTACTATTTCCAGGGGTTAGGTTTTCTGTTGTTTATTAAGTAATTTATATTCCTGAAAGCATTGCTTTGGTTGGTGGTTGCTTTTCCCTCCAACAGTGTTTATCAAGTTCCCCTGGAGATTTTTTTTTTTTTAAGATTATTTATTTATTTATTTGACAGACAGAGATCACAAGTAGGCAGAGAGGCAGGCAGAGAGAGAGAGAGAAAGGAGGAAGCAGGCTCCCCGCTAAGCAGAGAGCCCGATGTGGGGCTCGATCCCAGGACCCTGGGATCATAACCTGAGCTGAAGGCAGAGGCTTTAACCCAGTGAGCCACCCAGGTGCCCCACCGTGGAGATTTTGTTGGAGTTTTCTTCGTCTTAGGAAGGGAAGTGTTCCACTGAAGACTAGCACAGGCGGGTTTGGAGGATCTCAGGAAGGCACACAGGGCTCTGTGTTCTCTGCACACATTTTGCAGAAGGTGTGGCTGGACAAACCTAACCCCACTCCGTGGCTCTCCAAACTCTGCTTTGGTTGCCTTTGTTGAGAATACAGTGTCTCTTGCCTTGGAACTTGACTCACAAGCAACTGCAGGAGCCAGCCCCTGGTGCTTCTCACCTGGGAAACTGAAAATGCAGCTCCCCATGCCCCACTCCGAGCGAGTCTGATTCTAATAAGCCCAGGATTCTGAATTTGAAATAAGTGTCCATGTTGATTCTCATGCCAGGTGGGCTCTAAAGCCTGCCTTTTGAGAACCTCTGGTTTCCAGTGTGCTGCCTTGGCTGTTGGAAAGATTGACAGGGGAATTTAAACTTTATTTATGAACAGTCTTCCTCTGAGAATGGCAAGCCTACTTCTTTCTTGCTCATAATTGGGATGAATTTGTGATTTTTATGGAAACCAGGTGATTTTCTGCCTGGTGGGCTTGTCTCTCAAGTCAGGCAAAACTCAATGCTTGTCATTTTAAGACCACTTGCCAGAGGCCTTGTCAGAATTTGAATGTTATACAATTTAACCCTTTTTTGTTGGCTCCTGTATTGTGGATTCAGGCTCTTAAGCTAAAAACAGATTAAGTTGGATTTTAATATGTAAATATTTTGTGTTGTATAAATTAGGTAATACTTTAAATGTGTCTCACTCATTGGGCATGCAGATTTGGAGGAAAAAAATGAGTTTATTTTAGTAACTTGATTATTGCACTAATCCCTTTTTAATGTAATCATCACTACTCAGGGTGAGAAGTTTGGACCCTTCGCTGGAGAGAAGAGAATGCCTGAAGACTTGGATGAAAATATGGATTACAGGTTGATGTGGGAGGTAAGGATGACCTTGTTATTTTAAATATTTAATGTTTTTCTTTATACTATTCAGTGCATTTACAAGGCTAAGTTAATAGGTATTGATTCTAGTCGACTATTTAAACACTGGAATGTTTCACTTTTAAGGGACCCGAGTAACTTTAAAGTTTAGCATTGAAGAAATGCTGTTGAAATATCTTACTAGACAATTCTTCTAGAACTCTGAAGTTTACAGTTCATCATTGAAAAAGGAGTTTTCCATGCATAAGGATGTTTGGATTATAAAATAAGCATGTTCTTGGACTGGATTAAGAATTCAATTTCTGTAAATGAAATTAGACCTTTTCTTTAATTTTTATTTCCAAGTTGTAGTTCTGATTTCTTAGAAACAGTTCTGAGCTCTGTGTTGGAATGAAAACACCACTATATTTCAAGAACTGTGATTTTGTGGACAGTCCTTTGCAATCTGAAACTTCCCTAATGCAGGGATCTGTATATGCAAATGTACATCTGTATAAGAATTTTCATCTTAGTTTATGCCAAGTATATTTGTTGCTGTTCTTTTCTAGTCATTAGAAAAAGAAGGGCCTGAGGGATAGAAATAGAGAAGTAAAGGTATAGAGATTGTTGAAGCAAACACTTGGAAAAAACTCATTTCCAAGAATTGTATTTGGTGTGTTCCATGAGTAGGGTAGGGCTGAGAAGTAGGATCAGTAAATCGGAAAGGGATAGAATCAAGAGGTAGAGACTTACACATAAAAAGTGAAATAAGTCAAGCAGAGAGTTAATTATCATATGGTTTCACTTACTTGTGGAGCATAAGGAATAACATGGAGGACTTTGGGAGATGGAGAGGAGAAGTGAGTTGGGGGAAATCGGAGGGGGAGACAAACCATGAGAGACTATGGAGTCTGAGAGAGGAACTGAGGGTTTTGGAGGGGAGGAGGGAGAATGGGTGAGCCTGGTGGTGGGTATTAAGGAGGGAATGTATTGCATGGTTCACTGGGTGTGGTGCATAAACAATGAATTTTGGAACACACACACACAAAAATAAAATAAAATTAAAAAAAGTCTTTGAATGTGTATTTATCAGTTTGAGTCTGCAGAGCAACAGAACCAATAGGTTGGAGATATATAGATATAGATATAGATACAGATTTTTTTTTTTCCCCAAAGAATTGGCTCACATGATTTTTAGGGGAGCAAGTTGGAATCTATAGGGCAGGCTTTCAGGCTGGAAACTCAGATAGGAGTTGACTTTGCAGTCTTGAGGCAGGTTTCAGTTGACAATTAAGGCCTTTGACTGATTGGATGAGGGCCCGCCATATGCAGCATTGGTGGTAATCTCCTTTACTTACAGTCAACTAATTGTAGGTCTTAACCACATCTGCAGAATACCTTTACAGCTACAATTAGGGTAATAGTTGATAAATAATTGTTACTATAGCCTAGCCAGTTTGACACAGAAAGCCATTGTAGTGTATTACCTGCAAACAAAATATATCTATATATATATATTTTGTATATATGTATATATGTATATATATGTGTGTATATATATATATATATATATGTATATATATATATATATATTTTAAAGATTTTATTTATTTGACAGAGAGAAAAAGACCACAAGTAGGCAGAGAGGCAGGCAGAGAGAGAGGGAAGCAGGCCCCCCGCTGAGCAGGGAGCCCATGCGGGGCTTGATCCCAGGACCCTGGGATCATGACCTGAGCTGAAGGTAGAGGCTTAACCCACTGAGCCACCCAGGCGCCCACAAAATATATTTTTAATCATCATCCATATTGCTGAAACTGCTGGTGGTGGGGAACGATGCTTGAGGAAGAGATTCTTGAAAGATTTCTACAGTGCGGGTGATGGAAAATGGAAATTCATACTATAGTCCTCACTAGCAGTGGAAAATGTTTTTGATTTGCCTAAATTAACAAGCTGTTTTAGTTGTTTATTTTATAAATATAAACATATTTTTGGCGTCTTTCACTATTTTTCTATAAGGTCTTAAAATTTTCTCAGTAGTTAATTTTTTTTTATTGTGACGGTTTTCAGAAATCAAACATCTATGTGACAAAAAGATTGCCTAAATAAGTCATAAACATACAAATAGCAGTTATTTAAGAGGTTGTTAATGGCTTTTGATGTTTGTTCTGAAAATTTTAGTGTGATGAGTTCATGTTTTGCACAGCTAGTTATGAATTGTGAAGCAGATAATGATTGTAATTTTTATTTTGAAAGAAATCCTTGCCTATAGGAAATGCAGGCAGGCTGTTTGTGAACTGGTCCGTAGCTGACAGTGCAGCGGCGGATCACCTAGTTTTTTATGACCTATTCTCCTGGGCCTTTAATAATTTTACATTTGTACTTGTTTTCACACACCCCTATCCCTGTCCTCTCACTCTGCTGCCCAAAGAACTATTGATTTTATACATTGTAGGTTCAGGTAATGTTACATCCACTTAGTGATTGCTCTTCTCTGTTTTATTTTACTTGCTATTTAATATCTGGATTTTGAATAAGTAATATTTGTACTTTTTATGCAACTCAGAAGAGTATTGGTAAGAGTCTCCCCTGGTGAGCCTGTTCTTTTCACCTGAGACCTTTGATTCTTTTAAGCCCTTAGTTCACATGGCCTTCTACTCCTTCCTCTAGTTCTTCCTCTTCCTAGTCTGGTTTTCAGTTTGGATGGTCAGCCAGTCTTTGCTCTGCTTCTGGTGGCCGGGGGGTGGGGAGGGTGGGGAGCCGGTGGGTCTGGGGGCAGGACAAGGGAAAACCTCTCAGTAGTTTGCCTTTTGGGGGGAACATTTAAAAAACAATTAACATCTTTTGAATTCCTAGCCTTAATACTATTACTTTTAAGTTAACCAAATGAGCTGCTTCTCAGCCTTGAGTTTTATGAGTGAAGTCCATCATTGTTATTTGGCTTTGGAGGTGCCAGACTCAGAAGGAGCAGAGAGAAAGGAGAATAGCTGGTCCTTCTTCAGTCTTCCCCTCATGGAGCCATTCGAGTCCTCTCAGAGGGAAGCAGTGAGCTTACCCTCTCCAGTGGGTGCTTTGGGACTGGTTATTTAAGTCATTTCTAATTTGGCAGATAGCTACAAAGTGAACCACCTGGTGTTCTCAGACAGGTTGTCCTTCTCCAGCCAGTAGTTAACCTTGTCTAGTGTGGTTATGGCACATGAGACAGATCCTTAGGACAGTCTAGAAAATGGTGTCATGTGAGAGAGCATGTAGCATAGCCCTTCCTCAGTCTCTCTCTCTCTTTTTTAAAACAAATTAATTAATTAATTAATTTTTAAAAGATTTTATTCATTTATTTGACAGAGAGAGATCACAAGTAGACAGAGAGGCAGGCAGAGAGAGGGGGGGGGGGAAGCAGGCTCCCTGCCGAGCAGAGAGCCTGATGCGGGGCTCGATCCCAGGACCCTGAGATCATGACCTGAGCTGAAGGCAGAGGCTTTAACCCACTGAGCCACCCAGGCGCCCCCCTCAGTCTCTCTTTACACTTGGCTTATGGCCAGCAGTTCTGGTGGAGAAGGTCAGGAACCCTTAGGTGGCCATTTCATGCCAAGAACTTGGAAGGCCCAGTTAGGAATGAGCCTACATGTGTGTGCAAGCCCCTGTGGGTTCGGGACAGGATATAAAGGGATCGAATGGGATTAGTTGATACTGTCTGCTGCAACCTCCTTCTCTTCCTCCAAAAGTACAGGTAGGAAATTTATTGATGCCTACTGCTTCAGAGAATTCACCAGCACCTCAGCCTCATTCTGTGTTGGCCACCAGAATTTGAAATTCAGGTCTGAAGAGACTCCGTCTCATCTGTCCTTAAGGCTTGTTGGTAACCTCAGAATTTTGCTTTTCATTTAGAATTAGGTGCATTGGTAGAAGATTTCTTTCTTTCTTGGGCCTGAGGGCAATCACAGAGCTTGAGGTTGGAAACCAGTGCCTGATAGTAAATACTTCCTTCCCATGGATAGTATAGTGGCATGAGCCCAGGTGTCTGTATTGCATTCTATTCTGTAGAACAGTCTTTTCATCTACTTCTTTCCAGGTCATTTGGAGCTTGAGGTATATTTCCTTCCAGTCTGTACCTGCTCAAACTTGCTCTAAGACCAAAATCCATTCATGTACTGTGGCTAAAACTCAATCATCCTTTGTTTTGTAAATCTCCAAGAGCCCTTTTTCTATAATACCTTCTTCAGTATTTCAGGGCATAGTGCAAATACTTCCTCTTTAGGCTCTGGGTTATTATGCTTCTTGCACATACATACCCTTATATTTTGGTACCTGTAGAATACAATACAGATTGTACTTTTTCCCTCACCTGCCTATTATTCAGGTATTCCCAAAGTGGCTGCTGGTAAATCCAGTGTCTGTTTGAATCCTCCACAAACACTGTGTTCTGTTTTCAGTGGGTCTTCCTTTACTTTTCCAAGGCATCCCTTTGCATCGCCTGTAAGAAGTTTTTGTTTAGAAACTGGTCTGGTAAGTTCTTAAAACTCGGTGTCCTCCTTACATTTCTGGTGGAGTCATTCATTCCTATACTTTGTATCTATTGTGAGATCACAAAGGACTCAATCTCATCCCCCTTCTCCCACTCATGCTGGGTGCATGTTCTTCTCAGTCTTTGAACAGTTCAGCAGGTGTAGTCGGGTACTCAGTGGTGTGATCTGATGCAGGTTGAGCCAGAATACGTGCTACAGCTTAGTAATACTGATGGGTAGTAATACAGAGGATGGGCCTTTGGACAACACATTCTTGCTGTTAGCTAGTTAAGAACTCACATGCAGAATCCCAGAGAACCAAGTGAAATATCTAAATTCTGGGTGATGTTTTTATAGGAAAATATAAAATCTCTCTGACTTAGATACGGGTTGATTTCTTCCTATTAAGCCTTAGAAGAAAAGTGTCTACAATTTGGTAGAAAAGTAATCTCTATGCGTTAAGGAGACAAGCAACACAAGACTTAAACTTTGCTTTTTGAGAAGTCTGTGCTCCTACTCT